AGTGATAGCGCGCGAGAGCGCGCTTTTACTCTGCATCAGATAAAAGAATGTCTGGAACAAGAAAAGAAAAATATGAAGAATCAAGATGGTAGAACGCGATATTTCACTTAGCCACCATCAGTCGGCGAAAAAAGATGAAATGAACGAAAATAGACCAGCAATGTGAAAATAAGTTGAATCAGTAAGGTAGTAGGTATTTAAAATAATTAACAAAATGTTAGGTTAGAATATCCGAAGGATATTTGTGTTTTGCTCTAGGAAAAGATGAGCATCGCAAAGAGCTGATACAGCTGTTTGGATGTAATAGTAGAGAAAGGAAAAAATTTGTTGCAAGTTTTTTGATATAATTTTGTATAGAATCAATTTGAAGATCTCTGTGAATATATGAATTTGGGATTAACCAGGGTGCATTAATAATTTCACGAAGGGTTTTATTTTGAATAACTTGGATCTTTTTTATGAGAGTTTTAGCGGAGTGTCCCCATACCGGACTGGCGTAAAGTAAAGTAGGTCTAAGGATGAACTTGTATAAAATAAGCTTATTGTTGATAGTCAGATTGCTATGTCTGCCGAGGAGAGGACGCATAGTAGCTATTGAGATATTGAATTTCCTGACAGTTTCGTGTAAATGTTGCCAAAAAGTGAGTGTTTTGTCAAGTATGACTCCGAGATACTTCACTTGATCCGTCTACTGAATTTCGTCGTCAAAGAAGATGGGATTAGACGGAAGGAAGTTTGTTTGTCCTTTTCTAAAAATAATGGCTTTGGTCTTGTCAGTGTTAACGGCAATTCTCTACAGCGTCATCCAGTTTTCAAGAAGCTCCAAATAGTTTTGTAGAAAAATTTGTATAGAATTGATGCTTGGAGCTTGAGGTAGGATAGCGGTATCGTCGGCAAATAAGGCGATAGTAATATGAGATTCTTTTGAAATGTCTTGAGTATAAATATTGTAAAGAAAAGGAGAGAGAACGGAGCCTTGAGGGACACCTGCAGTAATATTTCTAGTAGTTGAGAGGGTGTTTCCAACTTTGACAGCAAAAGTTCGATTTCTGAGGTAAGAGGCAAAAAGTCGAATAAAGTGGTTCGGAAAATTGAGCTGAATTAGTTTGAATATAAGTCCTTGGTGCCACACTCTGTCAAAGGCTTTGGCAATATCTACTAAAATTGCGCCGGTAGGAAATTTGCAATTGAATCCATCAGTAATGTAATTGATAACGCGGAGAAGCTGATGATTGGTGCTGTACAGATGTCTGAATCCAAATTGTTCATCAGAAGTATAAGAGCTAGGAGGCATGATTCGATTGATATAAAACAGAATAATTTTTTCAGCAATTTTAGAAATTTGACTAAGTAAACTGATAGGCCGATAATTTTGAGGAAAAGTAGAACTTTGATGAGGCTTAGGGAAGACAACAACAACTGCATGTTTCCATACTTTTAAGAAGTAGAGAGCTTGATAACTGAGTTAATTATTTAGTTAAGCACGTAATTGCATTAATTGGAAGATGCTTGAGTGCTTTGGAAGAAATGCCATCACATCCAGCAGCTTTTTTAGTTTTTAAAGAGGTAATAAAATCCGCAACAATTCTCGGAGAAGCAAGAAAGAGGTGGTCCAGGGCTATTAAGGAAAGAATATACTGTGTATTGACTTTTGGTGATATGATCATTATCATATGGGGAAGCATTGGGAGTAAAGGTATCTTCAAGAATGTCAGCGAAAGTATTGGCTTTATCTTCATCAGAATAAACAAGTCCATTGTAACCATGAAGTGGAGGAATCTGCTTGAAAGGCTTTTTGAATTTACGAGCAATGTCATAGAGGGAATTGTCTTCAGTAGCAAGAGTGTTTGAGAAGTTGCTCCGTTGAGATTTAAATTCCCTGATGTCTTTTTTAATGGTCCTTTGAAGAGCGTTTAAGTGAGCTTTAATTCTTGGGTCTCTAGTAGCTTGCCATAATTTCCGGATGCGATTTTTATATTTAATATTTTGCCTGATGTTATTCGGAAGAGGAAGAAAAGGGTGATTACTGATGAATTTATTGGTAGCAGAACTTAAAGCTGGTTCAACACTGTTGTTAAAATTTTGAATTTCCGTGTCTAAGGCTTCTTTACTGCTAATGCAAGGATTTCCTGGTATAGTTTCTGTCATAATTTGAGAATATTTATTCAAGTTGGTAATTCCAATGCTGCAACCTAATGCAGGAAGGAAGCAGTTGATATTAATTTCAAGCAAGGTAGGATTATGATCAGAAGATACAGCAGGAAAGCAGAAGTTTGACTATTGTAAATGAGGTTATTTGAAAGAAAAAACTCAATGATGGAGGAGCTATGGTAACCAAAATGTGTTGGTTCATCAGGAGCATGTATAACATAATTTTTATCCTGGATCAAATTGAAAATTTCAGTATCTTTTCTATTGCTTGCACCAGGATTCCAACATTGATGTTTCTCATTAAAATCGCCACCTACAAGAGAGGGATAATTAGAGTCCAAGAGATATTTAATTTCAGCCATAATTGGTCTATGATTCGGTGGAATATAAATATTGGAGATTATGAATTTGTTAGATTCAATTTCAATTTCAATAGAATTACTCTCAAAAGAAGTAGATTGGTTTTGTTTAAGTTGATGCTGTATACTCCTTTTAACGAAAGTAATAATTTCACCTCCTCGCCCTGTAGTTCTGTCAGATCTGAAAGTAGCATAATTTGCATAAAGTACTTTGTTTTCAGGTTGTAATTGAGACTCTTGTATTAACAGAACATCCGGTTCCAATTCAAGAATAAGATCACCCAATTCATCCTTTTTGTTATTTAAGCCATTTGCATTCCAGGAAATAATTTTTAAGCTTCTCATATTGACTTTTTAGGCATATTAAATGTAACTGCAGACAGATCGCGTTAACGTTCCGGTTGGCTAACCTTGATTCCTCCACTAAGCTGACGGCGACGACAACTGCTTGTTTCTCCCGCACAACTACCATTGTTAGTATCATCTCGCAGTTGATTATATACGCATGAGGGTTGTGCACGTTATGTTTTTCGTGCGTATATTAGACATTTGATAACTTGAATAGTTTGATTTACTCATTGGTACCAAGCTAGGTCTGTTCTAACCATAGCGTCTTCAAGCAAAAAGCTAAAAACTTATCACTTTCATTCGGAACAAGAAACCGATTACTTCTTTACCGAGGTAAAGAACAAATGCGTGTGTTTACTGTGCTATATACGTGCATCAGTTTGTAAGAATGCAAAAATTACTTCCAAAATTTCAAAAGGATTTCAATTGTTCATTAAATCGCCTTTTATAGAGATTAATGATGACGAATTCTCTACTTGTGTTATGGAGCATTTTGATTTTCAAGAAGATAAAGCTGCAGTAGAGTTGGAACTGATTGATTTTCAAGATGATATATCTGTAAAATCGTTTTCTTCAAGCTCTGAAAATATTTGACCTCTTGTTCCTAAAGAAAAATACCCAGTTTGGGTGCAGGTTTGTTTCAAAGAGAAGGCAATATTTGGCTCTGCCTATCTGTGTAAGATTTCTTTTTTTCAATATGAAATTTATTAAAAATAAGCACACAAACAAACTCACTGATGAACACTTGGACAGTTGTATTCGATTGGCAACCACTCTCAAGACTAAAAAACTTGTTGATGACAAAACAAAAATTCCATCCTTCTGATTAAAGTTAATAAGCTGATAAAAAAACTGTCATTACATTAGTTATTCATTAGTAACTACATTTCATTTTCTTTCTTAGTACAATTCAAATTCAGTTTCTTTTTGTTATATACAGTTTAATTAGAATTGGTTTCATATTCACTAGGAATATAAGTTTATAGCCAATGAAATATATAAGGTTTTTAAAAAAACATTTGTAGTTCTTTTGGTTGGTAGCTCACAGTAGGATTTGAAAATGGCGCAGAAGTTCAGAAGCTTCATAAGTTTGGCCCCCACTGCTTTAGAGCAAGCTATGGATGATACCGATAAGCTTGACCAAACTGCAAAAAATGTACTTTTTTCCCAAAATTATTATGAATAACATTCTTTTTTCATAAATACTACTGTCAAAATGATACGCAAGAAAGCACCATGTAGCTAGTTCGTTCTGTAGCCGGTTCTTGAATTGTAAGATGACTTTCAGCATTCAGATAGTTTATCCATTAGGCCATGTCCTTGTTTTTAGTTGCATTAATTATATAATTTGAAGCTTTATAAAATAAAAACACATTATTAAATAAAAACATAACAATACTTTCTGCCAAATTAAGAAGCTTACGGGAACAAAAATTTGAAAATAATCACAAAAAATTATTATAACATTTACAATATATTGCTATAATACATTAAAAATGCAAGTTTAATTTAAAATTTACTTTAATATTAACAATGGTATATGTACGTATAATAACGCATATGAGAAAAGAAAGATTTGTTTCTAGTTTTAAAAGTGCCGTTTTTACCTACAAAACTGTAATATATGTTTTTAAATAAAAGGAAGGTTTAGCATGGAAAACTTCCATCAACTCTTAATGATTTTTTTTTAACAGTAAGCAAATATTAAGAATTGGGACATGTTAAATTAAAACTTTTATTCCTTGCTAATAGCAGAAAAATGAAAATTGTAAAAAGCAACTTTTCAGTAGGTACGTAAGAAAATTTTTGGAATATACTTTGGAAATTTGGAAAGAATTATTTAAATAAAGATGTTCGATTTACACAATGATAAAAGGGATTTGTAAGATACATAGTAAAAATATTAGACAAGAATCTGATTCATTGCTGTTCGAATGGAGTAGACTATATCTCTAAAATGCCTCTTCATATTTATTTAGCTTGTATTTATTTTGAGAAATATAATTGAATCTATAAATACTGTTGAAAATTTCAGAAAGAATTGTTTATGTCCTAGGAATCCCTTGAAATATAATTGCAAAATGAAGTTATATCATTTCATTTCATACAGTTTATAGTATTATAACTTTTCATCTAAAACAGATTAAAAGAAGCCTACAGTTATTTGTTAAGAGAATCCAGTGCCAATTTTCAAGAGTTCATATCGAATCCAATTAATGCATTTGTCTTAATAAAGAAGCTTTCAACCGATTGGGATGAAACAAAGAAAATCATGTTCGAGCTCCCGAAAAATGGTAAGTACATATGCCTTCGTACTATTTGCAGCAATGAAACAAAGACAAGAGTTACCTTTTTAATCTCAGCTCTTTTCTAAACTTTGAGATACAGCTCATTTAGCTCAATAACTGACTGGATGTGCCATTATAGATGCTTTATAGCTCGAATAGAGTAAGTTTCAGTATAAAAAATAATACGAAAGAAAAAAATCATTAGTAACTACAATATTTATTATAAAGCACAGCTCATAGACAATAACAAAACCTACACTACCACTTGAGGTTCTGCGACTTAGAACACTATTAAATTCTATGTAGTCACAAATCAGTCAAAGAGATCCAATCAGAGGGGCTGAAGGAGCTTTAAATAGAAGGCTGTCACCAAATCGTAGTCTTAGGCTAAGTAAATTAAATGGAACATTGTGACTGCGATGTCGGCTCTAAGTTCTGCTATGTACTAAGTCAAGTAACAAGGAAAGGACAAACACTAATGGTCACTAGAATACTGTTACGCAATTTGGCAGGCTAGCTTCTAATTGCTAATCATGACGCCCACTAAGTCGTTTTAAATACTAGCTAAATTCGTACAATTTTTTAGTGTGGTTGAGTTGGAAGAGAAAAGCAATGTACAGCTGAGCTAAAATATAATTGTCAAATGTAAGACTCTTACGATGGGACTTCTCTAACCGGAATTGGAAAAATTCAAATGATTTTAGCTCAGATGTTTCTTCTTCTTGAAACAAAACAGAAATCGCAGAGTTTCTAGTCTCCCTATAACCCAATCAAATTCACTATATTTTTCAAACTCTCTTGTTTAAAACTGAACTGTATTTTTTCGAGTCCTCTAAAAGATAATAAAGATTAAAAGATAATAAAGATTTCTCTCTCTCATTACTATGTGCCTTTCCGGCGCAAGTATGACACTAATCTCTAATTTCCTCAGTGGTTTACTGCGAAAGATAGGGCACAATACAGAAATATAAAAATTAATAAAAATATGGGGAATAATAAAATAAATAGGGAGTTTATATATATATAAAGAATAGGGGACAATATGAGGAATTTTCTTATAAGGAATATAAGAAAACAATATAAAGATAATGTAAGGGAATATAAAGAAGACAATATAAGAAATTTTTCCCTTCTTCACCGTGTGTTTTCGTAGTGTGATTGGAATCATGTCCGGCTAGCAATCAGAAGATTCGGTGTTCGAATCGCGGTGAAGGTATCGATGGTTCTTCTTGTTTCCCACTTAAAAAGTCTAATAGATTCTACAAGTACATATAGGTAGAGTGGAGACTGAAGAGAACATTGGAAATCTATTACAAAATCAAGCCTTCTTTCCGTTCACAGGAAAGGTTTCGGTAACTGAATCCTATGCTTCGTAAGACAATCTTACTTGTCATAATTAAGAACAGATTTTGTTAATATGTTATTGTCAAAAAAAGTTTAAATAAAGTATTAATATATTCTATTAGATATGAGCATAAACAGTGCAGTGTTCCCGGATCAAGATGACGTTTCAGGAGCAGCTAAAGCACTGTTGCGAGTTCAACAAACCTACGCACTAGAGACTTCACCACTGTCTGAAGGCATACTTAAAGGAGAGACAAATGGCTTACCACTGTCTGGTAAGTTTCCTTTTCTCTCTCTCTTTCTTTCTTTTCCTTTTTACTTGCGGTCTCTGGGTAAGAGTTGATGCAGTGTGAGACGATTCGAAACTTGGACAGCGTTCTTGCTTAATATTTATAAATATAGTTCCTTGTTCTTAAGCGAAAGCAATATAAGTTTGGAAATCAGATGTTTTAGTTCCCAGGTATTGTAGGTTATATGTACATTGCTTTATTAAATACACTACTCATTTTCTTTATTAGTCAGCTGTAAATGCATCTCTTTTGGAAGGTATCCTTTTTAAAATGAAAATTATTTGAAATTTACAAACCACTTTGTGAACTGATAAACATATACTCACTTGCTTTCAGTGTAATTTTATAAGTATATTTCTATAATATCGCATTATACTTCCCATGAGATAGTACAAATATATACCTTTTGGAAGCAAGGGACTAACAAAAAATACGGCAAAGTCAAATAATGCAAACTACCTGAAATACTACGGGAATTCGAATATATCAGTATTATGTAAAAACCGATTCCTACGCTATTCACACAGGAAGGTGTAAAGAGGAAGTGGAAGTGGAAGTTATTGCCTACTTTGCAACGGAAATCTTATTGCGCATTTAAAGGATTAGAGAGAGTTGATTATCAATGGCCTTACTAAAATGTAAAAGGGATATTTTGACACCTATATGAGAAACTCCGTTCGAAATGGCATTAAGGTGAATCTAACCGCACAATTAATAACAGTCAAGCTTGATGGAAGAAAAAATTTAGTATTTTGTTTTGCATTAATTTGGAATGTAAAATTTCAGTATAACTTAAAAAACGGACCACGCCGAAGAAAAAATTCGTAATTAATATAATTTAGAGTTTCTTTGAAAGTGAGTTTTCATAAAAAAGAAAAAAGTTAATTTTTTTTAAATTTTTTACACAAAAACAATCGTACCGACATTTGACGATGCCTTGCAGCTTTGTCTTCGATATTTCTAGATACTTTCAAATTTTATAGAAATAACTATTTATCAAAAGAGATTTCTACAAATTTTTAGAACAGAAAGCTTCCACCCAAAACATAATCTAAAAATACTGCCGCGCATAGCTTAAAGCCATTTTTTGGCCTACTGTGTTTTCCTACCGAAGCCTGGTTCGTCTTTCGATAGGTTTTTTGGTTATGGAACGCTTGATTTTTTTTCACCCCTTTCTTTTTGTCAGACATGTTATATACATTCGATCTCTAGCATTCTGTTTCTTATCGCTCTTTTTCCTTTCTCCCCTCGCCTATTATGATGAAGTTCTATCTAAAAATAATGGTGATGTTATATATTACTCTTTTTATTAAAATGAATTTTTTTATGTGTTTAGCAGAAGCATATCAAAAGGCTATTGAATTTTCTAGAAAGAAATCGTACTAAATCTGATACTTAAAATTATTAAATGCTTTTGTAATTTGGTGATTTAACTTCTAATTTTCATGAAATATACTGACAGAAAAGTTTTTATTTTTGTGTACTTTATGTGCGACGCCATTAAAATATAATGTAGCAAGCAGTATTTATAAATAAATTTAATAGATCATTATTTTATTGAAATATTGAAAATATTGAGTAATTATATAGGCATAATATTTCATCACATGTCATAAGCCAATATGAAAAAAAAATATTTTAATCTTAAATCAATAATTACACAGATGTTTTTCAAATAACACGAAATACAACTTAATATGCTGGTATTACGTGAATACTACATCTGATGGTCATGACAGTAAGTCTAGATATCTGTATATATATTCTAAAATAATTGCATTTGATAGGAAAGTGGAGGAAAATATTTAACCTCTTCTTTGTACTGTCCTTTGGCTATTTTATGTATATCTTCACTATTTTTTCATTCTAATAATTTCTCAGAGTCAGGTACAAGCCTCAAAAAACTGCAAATCCCCGCCAGGTTTTCTATTCTTTCTTGTTCCCCCTTCCCTATAAGCACTTATAATTTCGAAATACTCTTATCTTCCAAAATCGAGTTTTAAAGTGGCTCCATTAAAGGTTTTCCGTTTAGTTTCATTTTTTTTTTATACAACGACAAAGAAATACTTTACTGAGTTTTTAAGAAACCTACTAAAATTCACATAAATGCGATAATACTATTACTCTCAATCAGACTGGTTTTCTTTTGCTTACACATTTTAAAATTAATTCTCTTGGAAGAGTTAAAATAAAATAAACGGAGTCTCAAAATTCAAGCAAGATTTGAATTTTTGTGCCATTTGTGCGATAAAGTGTTGCCAAAGGAAAAAAAAAAGACAGTGGAACAGTTACCAGTTTAGGGTTACGAAAATAGAGCTCTACAGGAAAGAATAATGCGTTTTCGTTGTTAAGCAGTATTTATGTGTTTAGCAGAGGATTAATAAATAATGAAGATTTGGCAGCTACAATTCACAATTTTCGTAAAAAAGATGGTGGAAATAGTGATTTAACGTGATCAAATGTGAACAAATTAATTAAAAAATTTAGATCCTGTATCAATTAGTGATCTTAAGCACTCTGGCCATCTTTCTCTAAATCGTTTAACAAAGATTATCCAAACAGTTCGTGACAGTGTTGCTGAGTCTAGAAATATTGATTCGGCAGCGTGGTCAAGAACTGGACATTTCATGAAGCTCTGTACAGCGTATGTAAGCACGCACGTTCGTATGCTTACAAAGTTCAATTCGCTCAAGAACTAAAGTCTACCGACGACGCATAGCGAAGAGAGTTTGTTAAATAGAGTATGGAACAGTCTAAATAGACGCTGATTTTTCGTGCAAAATGATTTTCAGCGACGAGGCTTATTTTCATCTTGATGACTTTGTTAATCGACAAAATTGTCCCATTATCGGTTCCGAAAATCGACAAGCGATTGTTGCGAAACAAACGCATCCACGATGTGTCACTGTTTGTTGCGAATTTTGAGCTGGAGGCCTCATAGCACCATTCTGCTTCTAAAACGTTGCTTCAGGCAATGATAGTGTATGGGGCTCGCTATCGTGTCACAATAATACAGGTTTTCGTGCCTAAATTGCAAGGCATGTATATGGACGACATGTGATGTCAACAAGACGGTGCCACATGTCTTACAGCCTGAGAAACAATTCAATAACTACATGAGTCATATTTATATATTCATTTTGCCACTTTGCATTTTTATATATCATGTACATATTTAATTTCTATTTCATTTTCGAGGTTACGGCCCTCTTTACCATCCCCTTTTTTTAGCATCGTCTCTCCCGCTCTCGAGCGACCTCTAAAGTGGTACGCTTCTCGGCCATGGGGATATGAGACTTTAGGTCGACGGAGTTTTACGTCCGACACGACCAAGTTATTTTTTACGACTTATAAACTTCTTCGGCAAGTCTCATCCGAACCTCAGACAGGCAAGGTCCCGGGTGTCACCCGAGACCGCAATGCGAGTTCGAAAAATCAGTGTTCAATGTGGTCTGCAATTCACACCAAGTCTCGCAGCTAGCTGCGTTCTTTATCAACTCGTGAGCCGAGTGATCCACTTCTCAGAGTTCTACCAAAGGGCGTCTATGTAAAGAAGGAGAGGCTCCATAGACGTAATGTAAACCAGTTTGTCTTCTATGCCGCTAGAAAGAAGAGGGAAAATTCGCCAAGGGATTTGGCGACGGAACCTGTTGGCGAGAATTCCCCCGTCTGTGATGTACCGGACCTGGCCAAGATTTCCCTCCTCCGCCACATGTACAGGAAATTGAGGAACACGGGTTAAGATGAATAAGAAAATTACGTGAATTTTCACTTTCACTGGCTGTTGAACTTCCATTATCCATATCTCAAGTTTGATGTCTGATTTTATATCCGTCAATATGTAGGGGAAAAAATGGAGTCACACAACTCTTGATAAACGTGACCATTGAACCTGTTCGAACTTCGACATCACATTCGAGCTTTGGCGCTTTTTGGCGACAGATGTTTCACGCATGCGCAGCTGTTTCCCTTTTCGTTCGAAGGGAGCCGCTCCTGCTGCTGCGAAGTTTTCCTTCTTAACGATACATATTCTTTGGTTGTACTACATGAGTCATATATATCCTAATCGTATAATTTTCTGTTCTGGTGGTTAGAATTGGCCACCCAGGTTATGTGATTTAACGCCATGGGATTTCTTTTCCTTGCGGTTTTTTGAATTCAGAGTTTTATGTCAACAAGCTCACGACAGATCACACCTTGAAGGAGGAAGCTGAGTGTTGTATCAACGAAATTCAGCCACATTTATGCAAAATGGTCATGGGAAAATATAAACAAAAGCATGCGTATGTGCCAGGGAAACCGTAGAGGCCATTTGCGCGATGTGTTATTCTATGCATAACCTTATGCTGCTAGTTTTATGAATAAATACAAAATTTACAATTTTTAATGATAAACCTGTGTTTTCTATCAAAATTACACCTTGCGGGAATTTTGAGACACCTTTTAGTTTACAATCGTGTCCATCAATGATGGGCACAATGCTTTCCTAATATATCTAAAAATTCTAAGATAACTATACATTTTGATGATGTGTTTTTCTAAGATTATTTTATTAATATGTTTGCAATATTTTTTGGCAGCGGATGATTGTTTTGAAATGGGACGTCAAGCGTTTCATGCCGGCTACTATGATTATGCCATCTCTTGGCTGGAGAGGTCACGTGAAAAATCTATCGAAAATAACGAAGGCATCAGAAATTCGACGGAGATTTTGAAGTACCTCTCTCTTTCGACATTTGAAGTGAGTTGAAGATGGAGCTGAATCTTTAATTTGAAGTAAACAACTCTGAAATTGTACATTTTTGGAGGGAAGAAGCGTCATATTTTGCGTTCTTCGAACGCAATCACGCAAAACCTTCCGTCTCTAACATCAATCTACATTTGTTTATACACCCAACTTAAATTTATTAATTTATTACCAAAAAAAGGATGGATTTGTTCACTTCTGCTAAAATTTAATGCCGAAAGAAAAGGGGAAATTTTTTCTTAAATTCTAATATACTGGACTAAATTAATGAAATTTATTGAAAAACTACACTGGTGTGCAAAAATTAAGGACGAAGTCGAAAAATTAGCATATCAGCTGAACGAAGAGGCAGAGCGGACAGAAAGACCAATCAGGAGATTAAGTAAGGTGATGTACGGTAGCACATGCGCAGATATGCAGGTAGACGTTATGGGAGTGTCTGAGTAGTATAAAGCATGTTGTCGGTGTAAGATCAGTATTTCTGGCAAAGAGATTGCACGCCGTATAGCAGTTAAAATCACACCGAGTTGCTGCCTCAGCGAGAAATGGCGAATAATCAATCTGTTAGATGACATCTTAAATGCTTTTACCCGAGGTCGAATCATTGGGAAGTTGGAGGAAGGCCGCAGTGTGACAAGTGTGGCTGCAGAGTTCGGAATTGCTCACAGCATCATTTCACGACTTTAGAGACAATTTCAAACTACAGGAAGAGCTATCCGGGGGTTTAGTAGTGGTCGTCCACGAGGAACCACACCCGCAGATGACCGGTATATCGCCTTACAGGTCTGAAGAAACAGGCGGCAGACAGCGGGAGAAATAGCTACACACACAACACAGGCGACTGGACGACCGATATCGCGTTTTACCGTGGCCAGAAGACTGCACGGTGGTGGTCTGTTTGCACGATGCCCTGTACGGTGTGTACCTCTAACGCCTGCCCATCGGAGAAGGCGTTTCTGTGGTGCCGGGGAACACCGGAATTGGAGAGACAATGAATGGGGACGAGTGGGGACGAGTACTCTTTACAGATGAGAGCAGATTCAGTCTGAGTAGAGATTCTCATCGCATACTCATCTGGAGAGAGCGGGGTAGCGGCAATCATCCCTCGAACATCATTGAAAGGGACAGGTATGGAGGTGGCGGTGTTCTCGTTTAGGGAGGCATCATGCTTGGTAGTCATACAGACCTTCACATCTTCGACGCAGGTTCAGTCAACGGGACCCGTTATTGTAACGAGATTCTTCTTCCATATGTGCGTCTTTTTAGAGGCGCTATGGGTCCGCAGTTCCTTTTCATGGACAACAATGCACCATGTCATCGCACAGTAGCTGCCGAACAGCTCTTAGAGAGTGAGTATATTGAACGTATGGATTGGCCGGCACGATCTCTGGATCTCAATCCCATCGAGCATGTATGGGATTTTCTAGGCAGACGCTTGGCAGCTCGTACCTTACCACCAGTAACGATTCCGGAGCTTCGATTGGCGCTGCAAGACGAATGGACAGCAATGCCTCAACAACTCATTGACACCCTTATTCTCAGCATGGGCAGACAATGTGAAACCTGCCCAGCAGTCAGGGGAGATCATATAACCTATTAAAGACCGGATGTTTCTTGCTGGACACCCATCACAGGGAGAGTTTCGGCCTTCAGTTGCATTGCGCTCCATGCTACATTTTCAATAAAGCTTCTTTTTATCCCTCTGATTTCTCTTTTAGTAAGTGTTGCTTACATTACTCATGTCCTTACGTATTGGGGATCTTACGGTACTAAATGTGTTGATTTGGAAAGCTTTCGTACAAAGTTATATTGAAAAAACCGTCTCGTCCTTAATTTTTGCACACCAGTGTAGTAAGAAAGGGAAGAATGAGATGTAACTGAAGCAGGATTTTGAACACATGAACCGCACAATATGATACGCGAGTGAAATCTAAAATTGAAAATATTAGTGATTAAATTTTATTTATTAGTTTCCTTTGGGGCTCATTTTCGTCTGGTGTTTGGGCCTGTGTAGCTGTTACATATGCCTGATGACGGCGCTGAACCGAGGCAATAAAGAAAGTATTTTGATTGAAAAACAGAATTTCTTTATAAATTGTTTGTTTTCTTGTAATCTTATTATGCAAATTCTTAAAAGTTTTTATATGTTACTTTTTTTTTATCATTTATGTAAATCTTAACTGTTTTGTACTGAGTCCATTGTAAGATATGAAACTTCACTGTTAGGTCTTTGCAATAAAAAGTTACGCTTTGTAAAGTTTTGGGGATTCATTAAATTCATCTAACAGTTAAATTTTATTTTAGAGCAACTTTCCTTTGATTCTCGTTTACAACACACGCTTTCTTGCCAGCTCATGTGTACTCAAATTAGGTAGAAAGAAGTAGTGTTTAAGAAAAGGTTTTGTAAGGTGATGTTAGAGAGTCTTGTGCCTGCTGGAAGGCCATGTTGCTATCTTGATTTACTAGCAATTACATTCCTGTGGCTTTGAGCGCTTCTATCCATTAATCTTGTTACGCCGACTTTATCGAGTCGAAGCCATCCTGCGCGTTAAATTATCCTGTAGGCCGTTATGCTAAACTTACTACATTTAATTTTAAGTCTATCGTTACCTTTTTGGGCTGTGTAGGCTTCTGTAAGCACGATTCGGTGCCATCTGTAATTATATTAGTTAATAAAAGGACTTTTTCGAACTTGAGACTGAAGTATAATTTCTCACACAGACGTCTGGTATCTTGTTAGTTTATGTTTGGGAGAAAAACTCGAGACGCTATAAAGTCATCTATATTATCTGCTTATCTGCCTTTTGAACGTTAGGCGAGTAGTTGTTGATGTTCTCTATCTTTATTTAGCTTTTGTTTATTTAATGCTAACATTCCATATCACTTCTTTAAGAGCTATATATGATCACATTTTATAACATTGTAAAAGAAGACAAAATCTACACCTATGTATTAGGTGTAGATTCTGTCTTCTGTCTGTCTGAAACTGTTACAGTTTCTCCAAACAAATATGGCTGCTGAAATTCCACCTTCTGTCTGGAAAGGCCGTATATATACGGCCTAGAATACTTTTTGTGCTGTTTGTAAGAATGTATATATAAGTGCATCTTAAAATATGCCCAGAAATTAAGGCAATATATTAAAAGTACGCAAATTCAGGGAATTTGGACATTAAAATCAAGAAAACAATTCTTTCCCATGGTAGTTTTGGAAAATTTGTGCTTTCTTAGTGAAAAATCAGGTTCGCTTAGAGGATTAAAATTCTATTTTATTCCAGAAAAAATATTTAATTTAATAAATCTCCACAGAACATGCACAAAATCTTACAACTTCGGTATTATCAAATGAAATACACAAAAGTGAGCTGTTAATAACTGAGATGAAATTTGTCTTAGAGTCTTTATGGTTCTCCGAATAAATGATTCCAGGTCTTCGAAAAGCTTTTTATATTATTTTCAAAGCCGGGGACTTAGCCATTAGCCTTGCTGCACTACAAAGGTGGAAGTAGCGGCCATTTCGTTATTGGAAGCACATTAAACAGGTGGCCACTGTTGTCTTCTACGAAGGGATGCAAAGTTACAAACATGCCTTCTTCGGGATTCGAACCCGGGGCCCATCGCTACGGTATTTAGGGTCACTAACTACTACATCGTTTGAGCCGCGTTCTTCGAAAGCTTCCAGACCAAAGAAAGATGAAGTACGTAAAGGTGTCGTTTATATACATTTTTGATATGAAGACACTTTGCACAGAGAATTGATTCCTGCTGGTCAGACAGTCAATGAAACATTTTAGAGTGATGATTTGAGATGGTTGAGAGAGAATGTTTTTTCATAGAAGTCTTAAAACATATATGTGAGCCATATAAGGCTGTGAACTGTTTGTTTCACCGCGACAGTATATCCACGCCCTGATTAAAATTTTCACAGGCATTTAAAAGATTTCTTCGCCCCCCCCAAGTAATATAGTATTTACATTATAATACCAGTTTTTTACAAATTTCTTTCCGCTCGGTCTTTTCTTTAGCTGCGCCATATATTCCATGGTAAATCCAGCTACGAGAATGTTTTGTTGTGCCCTATTTCCACGAGTTCCAGGAAATTTTATGAGGTGTCCTCTTAATGGTTAATCTAGCTCTGAACGTACCCAAAAGTCCTGATGATCTTAATGTCTTGTAGACGAACATTTCTAGCAGTGATGAAATTCACAATGATTTTTTCATCTCCCTAATCATCGGATTTGGACTTTTGAGACTTAATTTATATGATTACCAAAGTATAATTCCAAAAGGAAGGATATCCGTTTGGACCTCGGAACTGCACAAGCGTCAAGGACTTTGTGAAAATGTCAGTTGAAGCATCAGTGCTCGGATAGGTGCATAAATACGGGCAGGGATTATTTTAAAGAGGGCGGATCCCTGATCAAAAAATATGTATTGTTAAAAAGGAAAACTGCTTCGTAACAGGAGTGGCTCCGTCCCAACGTAGAGGGAAACAGCTGCGCATGCACGAGATATCTGTGGCCAAAGCAAAGAACGTCTATGTAAAGAAGGAAAGGCTTCATAGACGTAATGTAAACCATTTTGTCTTCTATGCTGCTAGAAAGAAGAGGGAAAATTCGCCAAGGGGTTTGGCGACGGAACCTGTTGGCGAGAATTCCCACCTCTGTGATGTACCGGACCTGGCCGAGATTTTCCTCCTTCGCGACGTGTACAGGAAATTAAGGAACACGGGTTAAGATGTATAAGAAAATTAGGTGAAGTTTCACTTTCACTGGCTGTTGAGCTTGCATTATCCATATCGCAGTTTGATGTCTGATTTTATATCCGTCAATGAAAAAAATGGAGTCACACAGCTTTAAACTCTTGATAAACGTGACCGTCGAACCTGTTCGAACTTTGACGTCAGCTTCGAGCTTTGGCGCTTTTGGGCGGCAGATATTTCACGCATGCGCAGCTGTTTCCCTTTTCGTTCGAAGGTAGCCACTCCTGCTGCTGCGAAGTTTCCTTATTAACAATACATATTCTTTGGCCAAAGCTCGAAGCCGGTGTTGAAGTTTGAAGGTCACTTTTACCTTGACTTCATAAAACGAATATCATTTTAAATTTCTTTAAACTTTAAGGAAATGAAAATATTGTTCGCGTAAGTAAAATAACTAATGGGTTAGTATTTTGAGCAAAAAAGTACGAAAATCCGAGTTTAAATTATCGCAAAAAGTCAAAGAACGTGTTCCTCAATTTCCTCTACACATCGTTGAAGGGAATATTCTCGCCGCCAAGTTCCGTCACTAAACCCCTTGGCGAATATTCTCACCGTTTACTGGTTTACATTACGTCTATGGAACCATTTTTTTTTCTTTACATAGACGATCTTTGCCCTGATTTCATTCAGGCTAATGTCCAAAATCTGATTGACTGAGTTCTCTTTTATTTCTGATCAACCTCATAAATAGTTGTTTGTACAGAATAAGTATTCGCTTTTACTTTTAGGCTGAAACTGGTTATAATACTGATAACAATATAAATTTGCTTTAATTAAATCAATAAACTCCACTTAAGAGATATATTGAATTATGCCTTGATTTGGAATAATAAAGTTTTAAAATTATTTTAATTAATACTCCTTTTGTTCTTAATTTTTCAGAAAGGACGAACTTCCCTTATGCTTTTCACAAACAGCCTTCTTCAGTTAGGTTAGTATACATATTTAAAATTTTTATTTTAAACTCTTGCTCATATTCTGCATATTTTCAGTGCATAACAATATTGAAAATATTCATGTTGTTTCTGTAACAGTTTTAACAATATTAAAAAATAAAATTATGTGTTTAGGAGCAAGGAAATGTTAAAACTGATTTTAAGCTATTCGTCTATCCTTTCAGGCTGAAAGAGTATATATAGGTTTTAAGTCGTGCGTTTCGTTAAAAATTCTGCATTTTCTGTGTTTAGAAGAGGGTGCAAATTCTATTAAATTTCTATATATTAAATTTCTATAATATACTCAAAAAATGAATGTAACTTTTATTGATACTAGTTTCTAAAATGAATATTTATCGCAAAATTAATTACTGTTCCTAAATTAAGCCTTAAAGGAAGCATGTTTAAACGTTTAGCATGCGTTTAAGAAAACTCGATTTACGGAATTTAAGCAGTAATTCTTTTTCTTTTAATGTAATGTAAAAATTGGAAAATAATATAGAATATCAATATAAATAAAAACAGTAAAAATGAAATATATAACATATTTTTGGAGGAAGTTTCATTTTGCTGAAGTGTCTGTGTAAGAAGTTATGGTTTATGAGTTAAAATAGCACAATTACAGAGCAAAATGTTTGTTGTCGTGTTCTTTCTTCTAATAAATTATCCTCTCAAGTTCCTCGTACACAGCTTGTACAAAAAAATTCTTGTAGAGGAAATACGATAAAAATCTGAAAAGGTAGTATATACAGTGTAACTGAAAATAATTAATTGCATAGAAATTTTAAATTTGTGAATTGGAGTTTATTTTCAGATGCAGTTTGTAAGTATAAGTTGTTTATTTCAGGATATATGATAGCTCCATCTTTCGAAAATGGGATATTTGCTCCCGAAAAATCACTAAACATGGCTGATTCTAACAATGCATTTATGACACAGACTACAGTTTTCGATGAAGCCGTTTACCGTACATTATGTCAGGCAAAAAAAGGAACTTCAGAGGTGAGTTTAATAACCCATTCAACTGCCAATGTGAAGCAAAATACCAATTTTATATGGATTTATATATTACAATTCAACAGAGAGATTTTTTGCAGATAAATTATCGGAGGGTCAAACGAGAAAAATAAGTTATGCCCTCCTTAGGAATCAAGCCACGGATCTTCTGATTGCTAACCGACCACTTACACCAAACATGAGAAAGTGCGATAATTCTTTACGTTCTCCCATTCTTAAAGGGCGGCTGGATAGAGGACAAGACTTCATCGGCCAAAGACAGGTGAAGATGAATTGTCCGACGATCGCATTTTAATCAGGCGCCACTACGGAGTTAAAAATTAGACTTTGCATAGCTAGAAACCCGAGGAAACAAACTATGCTCCAGACGGAGTACAAACCATGAATCTTCTGACTGCTAATTGGGCGTACTATTAATTACATCATAAGATCACGCATAGGAGAAAGACGACATTTCCTTATATGTTGAAAAATAATACTACATTGAATAAAAGGAGTAATTTTTATACGTTTTTTAAATGTTATCAGCTTCGGCTTCTCTAAAAACATATTTTAAATATAATTTTTTTTATACGGCATATCATGCCACATCTGACACTAGAATATTTCGACTATTTAATAAAAAACAGCGTGTTCCAATAAGTTGTTTTAATTTGCTTACTAATATGTTATTATTCTTTTGTTAATTGTCCCCCAAACGTATTATTAGCATAAAGATGAATAAATGTTACTTGTATAGCTAAAAGTTAATCTATCTTCATATAACAGTCCGTATAACGAAAAGCCTTTTCTGACTCCTTAAAAAGTACTACGTGGAATAATTTTGAGTGACAGTAATTTATCATATTTATGTAGAGGAAAGCTCGTATCCCTTATATTCCTCTATATGAATCTGAGATTCACATACATATGGTTAAAGCGGAATTACAGGCATACAACTCTTGGAGCGGGGGCTACCGACCTAAGGACTATTGCCAAACGGGATTAGGCCACCCCACCCACTATACAAATCTACAATATGACGACCCCATAGAGCCAGGAGGGGGCCCACGAGCGATGCGTAGTGCAGGGAGAAAATTTTGCCACCTGCGCATGACGTCATGTGGGTGACAGTCGTTGGTTCTCGGCGTTTGTTTACATTCGTTGCATTTGATCTGTGATACATTTGATTTGTGTTGTTAATTTGCTTTTATAAGTAGTCGGAAATGGCAAGTTGTGCTATAGCGTTGTGTCAGAATTGTAGAAGGAAAACTAAAAGTCAAGGCATCACATACCATCGTTTTCCAAGTGATCCAGAACTTCGTAAGTTATGGACTAATCGCTGCAAAAGAGCAGATAATTTCAACATCGAAAATGCCAGAGTATGTGCTCTTCATTTTACACCTGATGACTACGTACGAGATCTAAAGGCAGAATTGCTTGGTTCAACTCCTAAAAGGGTGCTGAAAGCCAATGCTGTTCCCACTTTACATCTTCCGTCATCATCATGTGAAAATAACTCATCAATAAAGTATATATGTTGTGCTTCAAAAACTGAACCTAATCTGGAGAGAACGTTTTCTAACAGGAATGAGTCATCTAAATTTATGCTAAAAAGGGATAGAGCAAGCAGGTGTCAGGCTCGGGGAACAAGGAAACGAGCATTGGAAAATTTAGCTTCCCTTTCCCCCAAAAAGAAAAAAACTACAAGCTGATAAGATAGACTGTGCAACTCAGTTTACATCCAGTGACACATCTCATTTAGTTGAGCGTGTGCAAATCTTAGAAAAGGAAAATAAGAGATTAAATGTGTTGTGCAGTCAATTGAAAATGCAAAAGAAAATTATTTTTACTGAACTTACTGCTTCTCGTAGAAAATTGCGTAGCTATCAGAAAATGAGCAGGAAAGTAACAAGCAAACAAGTACATAGTGCAGTTAAAAAAATTTTAGGGACAATTTTTACGGACAATCAAATTCGCTTTCTCATGTCAAATAAAAAATATGTTAAGTGGAATGCAGATGACATTTGCAAATCTGCAACACTTAGGGCAGTATCCAAAAGATGCTATAACTATCTCAGACAAAAAATGGGATTTCCATTTCCTAGCATTTCGACTTTGAAGAGATGGGTATCTTGTTCATTTCGCTGTTCTCCTGGTTTGCTACACGATGTAATTCATGTTATGCGTGCTGGGGCATTACAGATGACAGACAAAGAATGTATGTGTGTTCTTTCATTCGATGAAATGAACGTGGATAGTAGAATCTGTTATGACCAAGCAGAAGATAAGATTGTTGGCCCACATAGAAATGTTCAAGTAGTAATGGTGCGAGGACTTCTTGCAAGCTGGAAGCAGCCAATATATTTCGACTTTGATACGCAAATGACGGCAGAAATATTGAAAGATATAATAATAACATTAGCAGAAATTGGATATTATGTAGTTGCAGCTGTAGCTGACTTGGGTGGTAGAAATCGTGCTGTGTGGACAAAACTTCAGATTACTCATCTGAACAGCAGCTTTTCACATCCCCAGGACTCTAGTAAACGTGTGTGGGTGTTTGCTGATGTGCCACACCTTTTGAAACTTCTTCGTAATCACTTTTTGGATGACGGATTAATGCTTCCGGGAAATAAATTAATTACAAAAGAACCTATCGAAAGATTGATATCGATGGATTGCAAAGAAGTGAAAATTTGCCCAAAGTTGTCCGTAAGTCACATTTCTGTTAAAGGTAATGAACGCCAGCGTGTGCATTTAGCTGCGCAGTTATTTTCAAACCATACTGCACAAGGTATCCGCTATCTTATACCAGAAGAAGAGGAAACTGCAATTTTTTTTGAATTAGTGAATAATTCATTTGATATTCTTAACTCCAGGAAACCTGTCTCTGATACAGTGTTATCTTGTGCGTATGGGATACATGAAGAAATCCAGGAGAGAACCTTAAAGAAATTTTATGCTTTTTGTGAAGACATGAGAGTGGGCAAGGCAAAGCACCTATTACCATTTCAGAAAGGATTTATGATGTCGATTACATCACTGCTGGGGTTATTTTCTGATTTGAAACAATTAGGAGTTAAATACCTTTTAACTTCCAGACTAAATCAAGATTGCCTGGAAAATTTTTTTTCCCGAATCCGCGGTCTTGGCCATTTCTATGATCATCCACTGCCCGTAGACGTGAAGTATCGAATGCGTCTTTTATTGTTAACTAATAATTCCTACCAGATTTCACTTTCTAACACATCTTCTGTTGCTCCTGATGAGGAGGAAGATGCATACATTACTTCCAACTTTTTTGGTAATATTTTACCTGACATGACTGAAGCTCTGAAGATGTTAGACGGTGAAACTGAGATGAGGGATATTGTTTTTGATAATTCTAGATTGACCCTTGCAAGTGAACCTGCAGCTGACTGCTCTGTAGAGGGTTTTCGGTACCTTGCAGGCTACATAGCCTACCGTGGAAGAAAATATGACCATTCTTTGGGAACACCTACAGAACAATTGCTCCATCTGCCTTCAGATGAACACGTTGGTTGGATAGAAACGCTTTCTCGTGGTGGTTTACTTGTTCCATCTGAGGAATGGTTAAAAAAAATAAGTCAATTTGAAGTAGTGTTTGTAAGTGAACATGGGAAAGATGGTCTTTCAAGAAATAATAACATTATGCAAACTATGTGTAAAAAAATTGCACAAAAGTTTCCTGATGTGCATAATGAAATCATTAAAATATATGTTAAGACACGAACATTTATACGCTTGAGGTATTTGAATACAGAAATGAAAAAGAAGAAAAGAAATAAGGCTGATATGAAAAAGGCACAGAAGTGGATTGCATCATCTTTATAACTCCTCCTCATATTACATCCTACTCATATATGAAGATACTTTTCAATAGCAGCCAGGACAGCGATTGATGATGATGAAGAAGTTCAAAATGTTAATGAAAATGAGTGTAAAAAATCATTGCCAGTTAAGTCAAATGCATATGATTCTTTACTACACAGTGTCGAGTTTGAAGATAGTGTACCAGAAAACATTTCCCATGCATTTACAAAGATGTGAGGCTTCTTATGACATGATCCCAACAATCAAAACAAGCTTTCGTGTTTTAGGGAAAGTATTCTGCCACTGCAAATATCCTCTTCGCAAACATTTCACATTGGCAAATTTAATAATATTTTGTCAAACAATTTTTGGCATTTTAAAGAAAGAAACTTGCTTTAGAAGACTGTGTTGTAAAATTTATAAGTGAATACCATTAACATTAAGTACAAGATGTCTGAAATGGAACTGTAATGCTACCAGATTAGAACCATCATTTACTTCCAGATATGTTACAAAAAGGGAGCTACAGAATGTCAACAAAACATGCATACAACTTTAGGTACTAATGTTGCATCATATGAGACTGTGAATGTTTGATATTGAAAGTTCAAAAACAAGGGCTATGGCTCAAACAAGGACTCAAAACAAGGATTACTAATATTTTCTCAAACAATTTTTGGCAAAGAAAGAGATTTGCTTTAGAACAGTGTGTTGTGAATTGTATTAAAATATCATTGTGTACAAGGTATCAGAAAGAGAACTATCACACTACCGGATTAGAACCACCACTTACTTCCAGATATGTAGCAAAAAGTAAGCTACAGAATGTCAACAAATCATATGTACAGCTTTAGGTACTAATGTTATATCATATGACACTGTGAAGGTTTGGTACCGAAAATTCAAAAATAAGGACTATTACACTCAAGAAGCATAGTACTAGAAAATAGTGTACCAAAAAACATTTTCTATGCATTACAAAGATGTGAGACTTCTTACGACATGAAATGTCTTTCCCAACAATCAAAACAAGCTTTCGTGTTTTAATGAAAGTATCCTACCACTGCAAAAATCTTCTTCGCAAACATGTCACATTGACATATTTAATCATATTTTGTCAAACAATTTTGGTGTTTGAAAGAAACTTGCTTTAAAACACTGTGTTGTGA